CTGTCGGAAAAGATGATCAGAAGGGTTAAAATAGCGAGTAAAGTTCATCTGACGAATGTTTATCACATACGGTCCTACCTGTGCGGTGTGAAGCCGTCATAAGCGAATTAGTGCGTAAGAAAAAATCATCTTCGAGCAGGGACCAAAAGGCCTCAGTTGACAGTAGTAGGTTTTGTTGGTGTTTTTGAATTCATGATTGTAAAATTAGTTTATTCGAAACTGTTCTTCTCTGATCACTGCACTCAATAATGGTCGCATTCAGGGAGCAGGACATTTCGTTCCAACAGATCGTCCAGGCCCAGCGTTACAAATGATTACAAACTTCCTTCGCAATACCGGTAACTACAGTCTGATGGCACCATTCAGCACACAACGTCAACCATTACTCCCTCAATATCAAGTAATTGCTTGAACTAACACCAATTATTACTTCTCGATGTTTAGGTGGCAACTTGATTTTTGGTTTTCTGAGCTGACTCGGTTTGAAACAAACCGATATGTTTATCCGTTCGGGGATGTGAACGCTGAATTTTTAATAAATTGGTCAGCTATAATGACATATACTCGACGAATTTGTCGCTGTTTTTATTTACGCACAGCCAAACTAAAAATGTGATTGTAGCAAGCAACACCTCAACTGCCAACACCATCTCCAAAGACGTTGGCACCCCCCGTGACTACCACAGAAACGGTGGAATCATCGACAAAACCATCAACAAACCCAATGACGACCGAAGGTAAGCAGCGCTGTTCGCTCGAGAAATAGTTTCGAATAATTGTCGAAGTGACTCTTTCATTCAACATTCAAAATATTTTCGTTGACATATATCAAACAAAACTCCAACAGATCATTTCAGATAACGCAAAATGACGAACTTTTTTTACTGATGTTGGTGCTTTTTACCCGGTAGTGAGAGGGGAAGAATTAAGTTGTTTATGATTATAGAACCATCAACAAGTACGACTGAGATGACTGAACCACCCTCGATTACAGAATCGACAGAATGGACAGGGCAACCGACAGAATCATCAGCAACAGAACCATCAGCACCAGAGTCACAATCAACAAATCCAA